ACAGAGTGGTCAAAATAAGGGCTTGAGATATCCAGATCTATCTAAACAGGTAGTCATTACTGACCCTAAAATGATTTCAGTGGGTTGGTAGGGCAATAAGTCATATTGCACTGGGTTTAAATGGAAGGTAAAAATGCTAGAATACTACTGAAAAAAATACCTTTGCACATTATATTTATGACCCACATTTTGTTAATTGCAGGACTTATTCTCTCCCACTCACTACACATATATGAAAGAACAAAACGAAACAATGCAGTACCCAGTCTGCACTTTTCCTGTCCCAGGAGATCATGTCATCTCAGGAGAGAGTGACATGCTTCCATCAGCAAGTGAGAGAAAAAGAATGAGTCACTTCCTTTTATTCACTCATTCCACACACCTATTAGGAGCCTCCTATGGGCCAAATGGGCCAAGTTCTGCTAGATGATAGGGACACAAAGGTGAGGACCACAAAGTATCCTCCAGGAGGTCACAGCCTAGTTGAGGGACCCTCACAGCAACACATGCATTTCACTATCACAGAGTACTTACTATAAAAAAGTAAGTAAAGTGCAAGAGAGAAGCAGGAACTGATTACCACAGCCCTAGCAACCTCAACAACCAATGTCTAATGAATCCCTCATTCCAGGCCAGGAAGAAAAAACTTAGGGGCCCTTGATTGGATCCCTCCAGCTCTCAGTAACCAAGTGCCTGGAGACTAAATCAACATGTTAAATCTGTGAATAAGCCAAAGTAATTTCTATGTTGCTCAATATCAAAGCGAGTGCCCAGAGAAGTCTTAAAAGTTTCAGTGCTATGCTTCTACTGCCATTCAAATTCTCCTTTGCCTGTAGCCGAATTTTCCTTAGAACCCGGGGTTGTGTTTAACAATTTAATAGAGGGAAGTGAGCATTACTCAGAAACGTAAACTGAGAGAACTACTTTGCCCAACTCCAAACCATGAAAACCTCTGCAGAGGCAAATAAACCTCTGACTAGTTGTAATCAGGGTCTCCCAAGAGCCCTCTTGGGGCAACTGTTCATACTTACAGTGCCAGTTGGACTCTCAAATATCCCAATCTTGCCATCCTCCAACACCTGGTACAGCACTGTCATGAAGTCTTTCTGGATGGAATAGGGTGTGAAGGGAAAAGGGAAATGGATGCCACCGATCTCCTGGTTTTTATCAGCCATGATCCTAAGGGGAGAAAAACATCTGGTAGTTCTCTGATGAGCCAGGAAGAACCGGCTTGAAATCTAGAACAGTTCTTAAGAGCAGTCTCAATACTGATTACGGATTTTCTCCTTAGGCTCTACATTATTTGGCAAGCAGAGATCATGTTCTCTCCATCATGTGCATATCCCCATGAAGCCACACCAAATCATGTAATCCACCCAGCGACATTTATCACAAAGGGCTCTAGAACAGTGATGGCGAACCTATGTTTTTTCGGTTGATTTTTCTATGTTAAATGGCATTTAAATATATAAAATAAATATCAAAAATATAAGTCTTTGTTTTACTATGGTTACAAATATCAAAAAATTTCTATATGTGACACAGCACCAGAGTTAAGTTAGGGTTTTTCAAAATGCTGACACGCCGAGCTCAAAAGTTTCGCCATCACTGCTCTAGAAGAATGCAGAATACGAAAGCCCTTATACAGAAACTCCCTGCATTTCACCTGAGGTACTTTTGCTGCCTGGATAGCCTTCTAATGCCTCCTCGAGAGGCTTGGAGATTTCCTCTCAAAGACCTGTGCCCTGGGATCAAAGATGTTGCCTGTATTCACTTCTGCAGCAGTCTTCCCTCACTTCTGCACAGGGCGGTATGTGCATGTCAAATGCCACTTTATCCTGTTGGGAGACCTGTAAGTAAAATCATGACACACAGGCAGAGAATTACAAGTACAATTACAGTTTCTCTGACATGGCACAGGTTAATGTACAAAACCTTATTTTACAGACACCTTTAGTTTGCTTCTTAGTTCATCCTACCTTCCATTTCCAGTACAAACCAGAGCTGCCTCCAAAAAAAGTTTTGGCCTCAAGAATCAGAGCCTTCTGTCTGGCTCCTGCCCTTTTAAAACAGATCACTGGTCAGCCTACAGACATCTAAGGCATCCAGCCTAATCTCATCAGCCCTGCACTTTCTGTCCCTCCAGAGGGAATGACCAGTCTTCAATGACAGCTCAGCTCCTCAGAGAAGTCTCCCCCTTTATTTTTTTTAAAAAATATATTTTATTGATTTTTTATAGAGAGGAAGGGAGAGGGATAGAGAGTTAGAAACATCAATGCGAGAGAAATATCGATCAGCTGCCTCCTGCACACCCCCACTGGGGATGTGCCCGCAACCAAGGTACATGCCCTTGACCGGAATAGAACCTGGGACCCTTCAGTCCGCAGGCCAAAGCTCTATCCATTGAGCCAAACCAGTTAGGGCAGAAGTCTCTCCCTTTAGTTGGCCACCCTACAGTGGTCAAACACCCTCCCTCCAAATACATGTGCATGCACACACGCAGGCCGCTCCATGGTCACTCTTTGATGTCATTACCCTCCATTTAATTTCTTCATAGTTTTTAGCACTCAACTCAATTCATCCAGTCCTCCCACTACAGTATAAGCTGCATAAAAGAAAGAATTTTGTCTGTCTTGTTCTTCCCTGCCCCTAGCACTCAAAATGCCAGGTGCTTTGACAACTATCAGGGATTCAATAAAAATTTGATGCATAAATAAACAGCCAGCTTGACATGGGAACTGTAGGTGGAGGTTTCTGTTCTTCAGAGGTGTGAGTGGAGGATGTCCCATAACTTAAATATCTAGTGCAAGGCCAGTTCCTTAGTAGTTTCAAACTGTTTTCATATAACCTCACAAAAACCATGTGGTCAGTATTATTACTAGCTCTATTTTATAAATGAAGAAACTGACAGTCAGAAAGGTTAAGTAACTTCCCCGGCCGGTGTGGCTCAGTGGTTGAGTATTGACCTATGAACTAGGAGGTCACGGTTCAATTCCTGGTCAGGGCACATGTCTGGGTTGCAGGTTCCATCCCCAGTGGGAGGCGTGCAGGAGGCAGCCTATCAATGATTCTCTCTCCCTTTCCCTTCCTCTTCGAAATCAACATAATTTTTTTTTTAAAAGAAAGGTTAAGTGACTTGCCCACAGTCATAAAACAATTGCCTGAATCCAAGATTTGAACACACATCTGCCAGACCTTCAAGCCCCTAAGCTTTGTATTTCCACACTCTTCTCTCAACAGGGTAAGGTGAAAATAGACTTGTTTACCAAACTTTAGAATAACAACAGGAAACAATAGAGAAAAAAAGTAATGTTTTCCCCAGCCTCTGGACTGGAAGGGTCCCAGGTTTGATTCCAGTCAAGGTCACATACCTCAGTTGCAGGCTCCTCCACGGCCCAGGCCCTGGTTGGGGCATGTGCAGGAGGCAACCAATAGATATGTTTCTCTGACATCAATATTTCTCTGTCATTCCCTTTCTCTTCTACTTACTCTCAAAATCAATAGAAAAATATTCCTGGGTGAGGATTAAAAAAAAAAAAAAAAAAAAGGAGAAACCAAGATGGTGGCATAGGGAAACACAGGAAATTGCTGCCTCACACAACAATTTCAAAAATACAACTAAAAGACAAAACAGATATCATCCAGAACCACAGGAAGGCTGGCTGAGTGGAAATTCTACAACTAGAAGGAAAGAGAAAAGCACACTGAGACTCAGAGGAGGTGCAGTGTGGAAGTAAAGTGCAGAGGTACAGAGGCGCACGTGGAAAGGGCTGGCAGCTGAGGACACGGTTGTCTTTTTCAATCGGGAGGGAGTCTCAAGCTCCTGACTGCTCCAGTTCCGGGTGAGTCTCTGAGGACCCAGACTCATAGAGGACAAACTGGACTGTCTGGCATCGGTCAGAACTCGAGGGTGGCTTTCTCTCAGAGGTACTTGCAGTGATTACCGGGACACTGAGAAGCGGGGCCTCTTAGGGTAGGACTGAGGATCAGCCATAGCTGCTTGCTCCGCCCTGTTGATCCCCAGAAACCCCGTCCCACCCAAGCTGTGTGGAGAGGCTTTTGCATATGAAAAACCTGGCCCTTTGCAATCTGGAAATTACCTAACAAACTGGGTCAGAGAGACCCTTCCAAAAGAAGGCCCAAGGCCCCACAGCAGCTTGCATTGCTTCACAGCTGGGCTCCTGCTGGGTAGCCTCAGGAAGAGGCTAAATTAGCACCTCCTTAGAGATCCAAGAGTCAGTGTACTCAGGGGTCAGAGTGGGACCATCCAGATTACAACTCCTCAGATCCATAAGGGACACACTCAGGGGGCAGACTCAGTGAGCACCAAAGCCCCACTGAAGCAAGTCTTGCCCCAGAAGGGTGTCTCCAGCACAAAAGTTCTCCCACTGAAGACACAGCTGATTCTCACAGTCAATTGGCCTGGAAGTCAATTCCTCCCGGTGATACCTACAACAATCAAAGCTTAACCACAACAAGACTGTGCACAAAGCCCACAAAGGGGTGCACCAAGAGTGTCCACCTCTGGTAATTGGGGAGGCTGAACCACTGGGCCCTATAGGACAACTAGCACAGAAAGCCACTCTATCAACACAGGGAAGCATAAAAAATGCGGAGACAAAGAAACAGGTCACAAATGACAGAAATGGAGGAAAGCAAACTACTGGATATGGAGTTCAAAACCACACTTTTAAGGTTTTTCAAGAATTTTCTAGAAACCACCAATAAACTTAGTGAGAACCTCAAGAAATCTAGTGAGACCCTCGAGGTTATAAAAAAGACCAACTAAAAATTAAGCATACACTGACTGAAATAAAGAATATTATACAGAGTTCCAACAGCAGAGTAGAAGATCGCAAGAATCAAGTCAAAGATTTGAAATGCGAAGAAGCAAAAAACACCCAGCCGGAAAAGCAAAATGAAAAAAGAATCCGAAAATATGAAGATAGTGTAAGGAGCCTCTGAGACAACTTCAAACGTACCAACATCTGAATTATGGGGGTGCCAGAAGAAGAGAGAGAGCAAGATATTGAAAACCTATTTGAAGAAATAATGACAAAAAACTTCCCCTATCTGGTGAAAGAAATAGACTTACAAGTCCAGGAAGTGCAGAGAACCCCAAACAAAAGGAATCCAAAGAGGACCACACCAAGACACATCATAATTAAAATGCCAAGAGCAAAAGACAAAGAGAGAATCTTAAAAGCAACAAGAGAAAAAAAAGTCAGTTATCTACAAGGGAGCACCCATACGACTGTCAGCTGATTTCTCAACAGAAACCATGCAGGCCAGAAGGGAGTGGCAAGAAATATTCAAAGTGATGAATACCAAGAACCTACAACCAAGATTACTTTACCCAGCAAAGCTATCATTCAGAATTGAAGGTCAGATAAAGAGCTTCACAGATAAGAAAAAGCTAAAGGAGTTCATCACCACCAAACCAGTATTATATGAAATGCTGAAAGGTATCCTTTAAGAGGAGGAAGAAGAAGAAAAAGGTAAAGATACAAATTATGAACAACAAATACACATCTATCAACAAGTGAATCTAAAAATCAAGTGAATAAATAATCTGATGAACAGAATAAACTGGTAAATATAATAGAATCAGGGGCATAGAAAGGGAGTGGACTATTTTCGGGGGGGAAAGGAGTGTGGGGGGTGCAGGAAGAGACTGGACAAAAATCGTACACCTATGGATGAGGACAGTGGCGGGGAGGGGGGTAAGGGGAGAGGGAGGGGTGGGAACCGGGTGGAGGGGAGCTATGGGGGGAAAAAAGAGGAACAACTGTAATAATCTGAACAATAAAAATTTAATAAAAATTAAAAAAAGAAGAAGAAGCAGTAATTATTTCACTCCCCGTGGACTGTAATCATAGATTTCATTATTCCAGAAACGGCACAAGCTAAGTCAGAAGTTAAAGAAGGGTTTAGATAAACCCACAAATAGTAGATACACTATGCACACTTTAAGAATGCTTGGTGTAGCTTTTTCTGACCTCTTCAGATTGGCTGCCTGAAGGACAACCATGATCTCCCACACAAGTTCTCCCTAGAATTCCCCACCAGTGCTAAGGTACAAACCTCATGCTCATTAAATGAGGTAGTAAGAGGTTATGTGAAAGTGTAAGTTTTCTTCAGTCTTCAATTATCACTTGTTATTTACTTGGGGATAAACTACTGCTACTGACTGAACTGTGTCCTACCCTCCCTCAAATTCATGTGTTAAAGCCCTAACCCCCAATATGAGACTCTATTTTATTTGGAGGAAGGGCTTTTAGGAGGCAATTAACATAAAATGAAAAGGATAATGAAGATTAAATTAAGGCATAACAGTAGGCCCTAATCCTTATTAAGATTGGTGGCCTTCTAGGAGTAAGAGAGCTCTCTTTCTCGCTCTTTTTTTAAAATATATTTTATTGATTTTTTACAAAGAGGAAGGGAGAGGGAAAGAGAGTTAGAAACATCGATGACAGAGAAACATCGATCAGCCGCCTCCTGAACACTCCCTCCTGGGTATGAGCCCACAACCAAGATACATGCCCTTGACCGGAATCGAACCTGGGACCCTTGAGTCCGCAGGCTGACGCTCTATCCACTGAGCCAAACCGGTTATGGCAGAGAGCTCTCTTTTTACCAGCCACGTGAGGACAAGTACTAGTAAGAAGGGGACCAATCTTCTGCAAGACAGGAAAAGGGTCCTGGGCAGGGAACAGAATAGGCTGGGACCTTAATCTTCAACTTCCCAGCTTCTAGAACTGTGAGGGGGGGAAAAAAAACACACAAAAAACAACTCTGGCCCGGGCCAGTCTGCTAAGTGGTTAGAGCATCAGCTTGCAGCTCCAAGGGTCCTGGTCAAGGGTACCTCGGTGGCAAGTTCCCCAGTCCTGGTAGGGGCGGGAGCAACCAATCTGTTTCTCTCCCATGATGTTTCTCTCTCCCCCCCTCTCCTACTTCCTTTCCACTCTCTCTAGAAATCAATGGGGAAAATATCCTCGGGTGAGAATTAAAATAGAACAAAAACAAACAAAAAATACTCTGTTGTTTAAGCCACCCAATGTATGGCGTTTTGTTATGGCAGCCAGAGAAGACAGAAACAATTTAAAAGCACAATCCCCATTTTAAGCCCCTAAAATGCTTTAACTTCACACACCTGGGAGACAACACAGCCACAAAAGAAAACGTTTTCTGCACCTACAGTTAATCCAGGCACAGCACCAGCGGGGCTGCAATGCTCCCACAGCAGGGGACATGGCCCAGGCTCCCACCTCCATCCTCAGAGCTCTCACATCCTGTAGGAAAAACCTGCTACTTGGTGTTTTTTCCACTTTTCATTGCACATCCTCCAACAATCTGGTCAATTCCATTCAACCGAACCCTTTTGACTGGACCCCACTCTACCTTGCTTTTCTGAAGGGCAGAGCCATTAACAGTATGGGCTCTGAGGTCAGGCTTCTAAATTTGGGACCCCAGCTGTACTCTTGCCTAAGTTAATAGCCCTAACCCTGTTTCCCCGCGCGTAAGGGAGAGACAGATAAAACTGCATTTCCATAGGCTGCAGTGACCACTAAATAAGTAACTTATAAAAAGCGGTTAGCACAGATGGGTTACTGAAGTCCCTGGTGCGTGTTAGCTATTATTACTCCAAAGCACCGCTCCAGTTCAACTGCAGATCCCGCCCTCACTCACCTCCCATTCGCCCTTGCACAGGTTTCTCGCCTATCAATCACACGTTAGCTCCGCCCCTCCATGCCGCGAAGGTTTTTCCCGCTCCCGACGCCCCCCGCCCCTCCGCAAACAGCCACTGGTTAGCACTTACACCGGAGGACGTCCTTTCTCATGTAGGTTCTCCTGTCCTAAGCTTTGTTACCACGCGACACCGTGACCACTCTCTTCCCCGACAAGACAGCTTCGCTTCAGGCCAGGCGGCTGAGGTATGAGAGATAAGGTCGCGGAGCTTAAAAGCGCGGCTCCGGCCGGTCCCCAGAGGAGCGTGCAGCGCTGCCACGCCCCGCGCCACTGCGCGTGCTCACTTGGGGACGTGGGCGTGGTCTTTTTTGCACCACTGCGCTTGCGCGGCTGGCTCCGGGCGCGACTATTTCCTGGCCATAGGAAAGCTGCAGGTGATGGACCCTGGGCCAGCCTTTCTGACCACACACAGCCTTTGGGCTTAATGCCAACCTGCGACCTCCCTTGCAGTCCTGCCCGGTGCAGGATGTTTGATCCCCCGCCTATTGGCGCAGATGTTCTAAACTCCACAGATGATTGGCTTGAAGAAATGGGCTCATATTTACCAAACACTGCGGGCAAAAAGGCTAGCAGAGAATTGAGAAACCAGTATTCTGATCCTCGCTCTTGCCAGGCCTTAATATGTGAACGTGTTCTTTTTACCTCTGAATGGACAGTACTCGCCTCAACTGGGTTGTACAGGAACTTGGAGGTCTTTTTTTTCCTATTTCAGTTGTCATGCAATATGATATTAGTTTCAGGAGTACAACAATACTGATTGGGCATTTATGTAACTTACCTAGTGATCACACAATTAAATCTAGTACCCATCTGACACCATACTTACCTATTAAAATGTTATTGACTTTCCTGTATGCTCTACTTTACTTCCTCTTGACTGTTTTTTTTTTTATTTTTCGCTAAAAGTATTACAAAGGGTATTACATAAGTGTCCTTTTTCCCCCCCACCCTTGACAAACCCCTGCCCTCCCTTACCCCCCAGTGTCTTATGTCCATTAGTTATGGTTATATGGATGCATACAAGTCCTTCAGTTGATCTCTTACTCCCCTCCCTCCTGTCCCCCAACCCTCCCTGGCCTTCCCACTGCAGTCCGACAATCGGTTTGAGGCAGCTCTGCCACTGTATTTATTATTGTTCAAAAGTTTGTAATGGTCTTAATTATCCATGAAAGAGTGAGATCATGTGGTATTTTTCCTTCATTGACTGGCTTGTTTCACTTAGCATAATGCTCTCCAGTTCCATCCATGCTGTTGCAAATGGTAAGAGTTCCTTCTTTTTAACAGCAGCATAGTATTCCATCGTGTAGATGTACCACTGTTTTCTAATCCATTCATCTACTGATGGGCACTTAGGCTGTTTCCAGATCTTAGCTATGGTGAATTGTGCTGCTATGAACATCTGGGTGCATATATCCTTTCTGATTGATGTTTCTGGTTTCTTGGGATATATTCCTAGAAGTGGGATCGCAGGGTCAAATGGGAGTTCCATTTCCAATTTTTTGAGGAACCTCCATACTGCCTTCCATAGTGGCTGCACCAGTCTGCATTCCCACCAGCAGTGCACAAGTGTTCCTTTTTCTCCACATCCTCTCCAGCACTAGTCGTTTGTTGATTTGTTGATGATGGCCATTCTGACAGGTGTGAGATGGTACCTCATTGTTGTTTTGATTTGCATCTCTCGGATGATTAGTGACTTTGAGCATGTTTTCATATGTCTCTTGGCTTTCTGAATGTCCTCTTTTGAAAGGTGTCTATTTAGATCCTTTGCCCATTTTTTGATTGGATTGTTTATCTTCTTTTTGTTAAGTTGTATGAGTTCCCTATAAATTTTGGAGATTAAGCCCTTATCAGATATGATGTTGGCAAATATGTTTTCCCACGAGGTGGGTTTTCTTGTTGTTTTGTTGATGGTTTCTTTTGCTGTGCAGAAGCTTTTTATTTTGATGTAGTCCCATTTGTCCATTTTCTCTTTAGTTTCAACTGCCCTAGGAGCTGTATCAGTGAAGAAATTGTTTTGGCATATGTCTGAGATTTTGTTGCCTTTGTATTCTTCTAGAATTTTTATGGTTTCCTGTCGTACATTTAAGTCCTTTATCCATTTTGAGTTTATTCTTGTGTATGGTGTAAGTTGGTGGTCTAGTTTCATTTTCTTGCATATATCTGTCCAATTTTCCCAACACCATTTATTGAAGAGACTATCTTGGCTCCATTGTATGTTCATGCCTCCTTTGTCAAAAATTAATTGAGCATATTGGTTCGGGCTAATTTCTGGACTCTCTATTCTATTCCACTGATCTATATGTCTGTTCTTGTGCCAGTACCAGGCAGTTTTGAGAACAGTGGCTTTGTAATACATCTTGATATCTGGCATTGAGATCCCACCTACTTTGTTCTTTCTCAGGATCGTTGCAGCTATTCGGGGGTCTTTTTTTATTCCAGATGAATTTTTGGAGAGTTCGTTCTAGATCTTTGAAGAAGGCCATTGGTATTTTAATGGGAAGTGCGTTGAATGTATAGATTGCTTTGGGTAGTATGGACATTTTAATGATGTTGATTCTACCAATCCAAGAACATGGTATGTTCTTCCATCTGTTTATGTCTTCCTCTATCTCTTTTTTCAACGTCCTGTAGTTTTCTGAGTAGAGGTCTTTAACCTCTTTAGTTAAGTTTATTCCTAGGTATCTTAATTTTTTTGGTGCGATGGTAAATGGGATTGTTTTTCTAATCTCTCTTTCTGCAAGTTCACTATTGGTGTATAGAAATGCCTCAGATTTCTTGGCATTAATTTTGTATCCTGCTACTTTGCCAAATTCATGTATTAAGTCTAGTAGTTTTTTGACGGAGTCTCTAGGGTTTTTTATGTATAATATAATGTCATCTGCAAATAAGGACAGTTTTACTTCCTCTTTTCCAATTTGGATGCCTTTTATTTCTTCTTCTTGCCTAATTGCAATGGCTAATACTTCCAGTACTATGTTGAACAGGAGTGGTGAGAGTGGGCATCCTTGTCTTGTTCCTGTTCTTAGGGGAAATGGTGTTAGTTTTTGTCCATTGAGTATGATGTTGGCTGTGGGCCTGTCATATATGGCTTTTATTATGTTGAGGTATGATCCTTCTATTCCCACCTTTCTGAGAGTTTTTATCAAAAATGGGTGTTGGATTTTGTCGAATGCTTTTTCTGCATCAATTGATATGACCATGTGGTTTTTTTCTTTCAATTTGTTTATGTGATGTATCACATTTATTGATTTACGGATGTTGTACCATCCTTGCATCTCTGGGATAAATCCTACTTGGTCATGGTGTATGATCCTTCTGATGTACTGCTGGATCCGATTTGCTAAGATTTTGTTGAGGATTTTGGCATCTATGTTCATGAGGGATATTGGCCTGTAATTCTCTTTCATTGTGATGTCTTTACCTGGTTTTGGTATTAGGGTGATGCTGGCTTCATAGAATGAGCTTGGAAGCGTTCCTTCCTCTTGAATTTTTTGTAGTAGTCTGAGGAGGGTAGGTTTTAGTTCTTCCTTGAATGTTTGGTAAAACTCCCCTGTGAAGCCGTCTGGCCCTGGGCTTTTGTTTGCTGGAAGCTTTCTGATGACTGCTTCAATTTCTTCCATAGTTATTGGCCTATTGAGGTTTTTAGATTCTTCCTGTTTGAGTTTTGGAAGGTTGTATTTTTCTAGGAATTTGTCCATTTCCTCCAGGTTGTCTAGTTTGTTGGAGTAGAGTTGCCCGTAGTATTGTTTAACAATCATTTGTATTTCTGTGGGGTCTGTTGTTATTTCGCCTCTATCATTTCTGATTTGGTTTATTTGGGACCTCTCCCTTTGCTTCTTGGTGAGCCTGGCTAGGGGTTTGTCAATCTTGTTTATCCTTTCAAAGAACCAGCTCTTGGTTTCATTGATTTTCTGTATTGTTTTTTTGGTCTCTATGTCATTGATTTCTGCTCTAATCTTTATTATCTCCTTCCTTCTGCTCACTCTGGGGTTTTCTTGTTGCTCTCTTTCTAATTCTTTGAGTTGTAGAGTTAGATGATTGACTACCATTTTTTCTTGTTTTTTGAGATAGGCCTGTAGAGCTATAAACTTTCCTCTCAGGACTGCTTTCATTGTGTCCCAGAGGTTTTGGATTGTTGTGTTTTCATTGTCATTAGTGTCCAGGATGTTTTTAATTTCTTCTTTGATGTCATCGGTAACCCAATCAATATTTAATAACATGCTATTCAGCTTCCAAGTGTTTGAGTATTTTGGGTTGTTTTTATTGTAGTTTATTTCTAACATTATGCCATCGTGGTCTGCGAAGAAGCTTTTTATGATTTCAATCTTCTTGAATTTGTGGAGACTTTGCTTGTGACCCAATATGTGGTCTATTTTTGAATATGTCCCATGAGTACCTGAGAGGAATGTATATTCCGCAGCTGTGGGGTGAAGTGTTCTGAAGATGTCAATTAAGTCCATCTGATCTAGTGAGTCATTTAGGATTGCTGTTTCTTTGCTGAGTTTTTGTCTAGCGGATTTATCCAGTGATGTCAGTGGTGTATTAAAGTCCCCTACTATGATTGTATTGTTGTCGATCTCTCCCCTGATATCTTCCAGAAGTTTTCTTATGTATGTGGGTGCTCCTGCATTGGGTGCATATATGTTTACCAGGGGTATATCTTCTTGTTGTATTGATCCCTTTAGTATTATGAAGTGGCCTTCCTTATCTCTGGTTATGGCCTTCACTTTGAGATGTATTTTGTCAGATATAAGTATTGCTACCCCAGCTTTCTTTTCCTTTCCATTTGCGTGAAAGATATTCAGTCTGTGTGAGTCCCTTCTAATGAGGTGGGTCTCTTGTAGACAGCAGATGTATGGGTCATGTTTTTTTATCCATTCAGCCACTTGATGTCTTTTGGTTGGAGCATTTAGTCCATTTACATTTAAAGTTATTATTGAAAGGTACTTGTTTGTAGCCATTTCTTTTTGTGTGTGTGTGTGGCTGTTTTCTTTCTGAGCTTGATGTTTCTTCTTTTTACACCAGTCCCTTTAGCATTTCTTGCATGGCTGGCTTGGTGGTGATAAACTCCCTTAGCCCTTTTTTGTCTGTGAAGCTTCTTATTTCCCCTTCAATTTTGAATGATAGCCTTGCTGGATAGAGTATTCTTGGATTCAGTCCTTTGCTTTGCATCACTTTGTAGATTTCCGTCCATTCTTTTCTGGCCTGATGTGTTTCTGTTGAGAAATCATTTGATAATCTAATGGGAGATCCCTT